TTTATGCTAGGTAAGTTCTTTAGAAACTTGCTACTCAGAATATGGTGAAAAGACCAGCAGCCTCAATATCATCTAGGTGTTCACCAGAAATGCAGAATATTAGATCCCATTCCAGATGTATTGAATTTGAATAAGGATCTTAATAAGTACAGGTGAGACAGCACAAATGTTCAAGAAACTCTGCTTTCAAGGACAAATAAAATTTGGCCTGATGCTAATCACTTTCAGTATCTAATCCCTTCAGAATGTTCAGGTTCTTATATGTCCTTTTCCATTTTATAGGAATAGGCTGAAAAAAAATTCAGTAGAAGCCCTCTAGCATTCACATAATATCATTTACTAAGTTATAATTATGATTTCAGCATTACATTTGACCTTTGGATACTTGCAATCCATGAGGGCCTTCATGGGTCCAAAATAATTCTGCCGTATTGAAACTGCTTACCCTTTAAAATAGAGACATACAGGCCTCTGTTATGAGTCTGTCATTTAAAAATAAACCCAGTTGATGTATCACACAATTATATAGAAAAGAATGAGAAAACTCTTTCATTATTGGAGGCCAAATCTAAAATAATAATTTCTTCTAGTGTGTACTGAATTGTTGAGAATCTAAAACTTTGTTTATTCTTCTCCAGAAAATGCATCATACATTATTTTGAATAAAATATAAGATATTCTCTAACCATGTTCTCAACTCAAGGTGAAAGTCATACTTTACATTTAAGTTTCGAGTAATATCATATGTATTTACTTTAAATATAGTTGTGCCTTTTTTTAGTCTATACAATTTGGCAGCTAATATCTGGGTAAACTGACAACATCTAATTACATATACTGCAATATCATATAAATTTCTACAAGTCATAATTTCTAAATTCTCAGCAACAATAAATAATAGGCTTTATATCATTTTTTTGAAACAGAAAATATATTCTAATCTGAGAGGTTTAAGAACATAAGATTTATTATAGGTAAATAATATAGAAAATGATAAATAATTATGCTTACACTCCATTTATTGATATTTCTAAATTATGTGTCACTTTAGAGTAACAGTGTAAACATTAGAATAGCCATTTATTATATGATTCTAAATCTTGCTGTCATATAGAAAAGCCTAGAGGTATTCCTTTTTTTTTTTCTTATGTTTACTTGTCAATTTTTAGCTCTATCCAAGGATGGACAAAATTCATCATTTTTCTGTCCCAGAGTTACATGGTGCTTGTGAACTACTATGTTATTGCTTTAGTTTGTATAGATTTGCAGTTCTTGCATTTTGCTTGAGAGTGTTGTTGAACTGATCCTCTAATGCAAAGTAAAAGTCAGCAAAACCTGCCAACTTTCCCTAGCTTTGGATTGAAAGGTAAAGTCAGAAATTTTCTAAACCAAATTGGAAAAGTGGAAAATAGCCTAAGGACAAAAAAATTCCTAAACTAAAAGAGTAGTTGGAGGCATCATCACAAAATTTGGGATAAAACCGATTTATACACTGAGTACACAGAATATCAAATTCCCTAATACAAGAATTGAGTGTCACTGATTTTATGCTCTTCTATTTTCACTGCACTGTTCAACAAATCTTTTCACTTGTCACAAAGATGAGTCAAAAGAACTGCATGTGGTACAGAATACTTCTCCCAACTTGCTCTCAACTAATCAATTTATTCTTTTCATATTATTTTCCATTCTCAGTTCATTTTTAAAATGATGAATGGCTTAGACAAATACTCTCACAAGTCTTACATGGAAAGAAAGCCATATTCCAAAATAATTATCAAAAAACACTTATTATATGCAATGTCTTCTATTATTTTATTTTATTTATTTATTTTACATAGGCTTCAGACTCAGTGCAGAGCCCAGTGCAGGGCTTCAACTCACAACCCTGAGATCAAGACTTGAGCTGAGATCAAGAGTCAGATGCTTAACCAGCTCAGCCACCCAAGTGCCCCATATGTCATTTCTTTTAAGTTTACACCAGTATGTATTAGAACTAAGAAAAATAAACAGAAAAAATGAAACTATGAAAAGCCATCTTCAAGTCATTCTAACTCTTGATTTGACTCTCATATATGAAAATACTGAGCATTTTCCCATAAATTTTGTTATTTAATATTGAAATATCAAAGTAATGTATTATTGAGATATTTCAATATTTTTCTCTATGTCTAAGAGCTACTTGATAAACTTTAAGTGCACTTTTTGCACCATCTAAATGATGCACATTAGATGATTATTTTTAATCCATAAATCGATAGCTCAGGTGGTATTGTTCTCTAATCTCAGGATATCAAGTTGAGCTGTGGCTTTTTTTTTTTTCTTGCATATCCACTTCACAGGTTTTTGCTTCAGTTTCCTAATTTATAAAATGTGGAGTGTGTGTGTGTGTGTGTGTGTGTGTGTGTGTGTCTGTGTGTCTGTGTGTCTAGATACAGGAATTTAAATCAAATAGAACTGAATTTGTATTTCTGCTTAACCAGTTATTATTTGAAACAAATCAAGCATATTTTATAATTTTGTTGCACTCCTCTGTAAAATACAAATACTAATATCACATCATAATTATAAATATTTTATGAGATGACATATAGTATATATGAGCTCTTGAATTATTATTGTTTACTCAGGAACATATTGGTATTCCTTTGAGTTTAAACATCTCTTCTAAAATATTGTTTATGCCTGTAATTCTGATTTTGGCTGTTCTTACAGCCTTTGGTGGGATACATGTTTTTAAATAAATAAATAAATAAATACACACACACACACACACACACACACACATACATTACTAGAAATGGCTACTAGTCAACCTCTGAAACCTTAGGAAAGTTAGTTCACTCTGGCACAGGCACCATGTTGTGTGCAAGAGAACCCCATTTTCCAGTTAGCTCATTGTCAGGCAAATTTACAAATTCTCTGAGAGTAAATTATCAAACAATAATTCTTGTCTTTCTTTAGCAGAAAGTTGAGATTAAAGAAATTAAATATACAATAAATTCTCCTTAATATCAACACTACTGATAATACTCCAGAAAACAAAAGGATGATTATACTTATGAGCAATAACAGACATATTACAAAATAAGGTATTTTGTTTACAGAACACTTGTGCTTTGTCAGACTTGTACATAGGTTATTTGTAATTTTCAAAGCAAATCTGCTAGATGTGTACTTTCTCCTCTACTTTAAAAGTGAGGAAATTAAGAGTAGGCAATTTCCAAACACACAATGAAATGTGAGATCCAATCTTTATAAATTCCCAATCAAAATGATTGCCACCCTAAGATTTCAGGAGTACAGAAGACAACGTCCTTAAACTTATACCACACAAAGAAAAAGATATTTCTTGGAAGAAATAAAATGTTAACAAGAATGGACATTAGCAAGGAAAATTGTATTGTTTTTTTTCCTTACCGAGCTGATAGGTTGCAGGGTAAAGAAATACAATCTGAATTGGACCCTAAAAGAAGCAAGAGGAAATACACAGAAGGGAAGAGGTGGCTATAATTAGTTACATCTAGTTTCCCCTTTAGTATCTTTCAGTCCAGTAAAATAGTTATTTTCAAAGCATATGTATCCAATAGTCCAGACATTTATCACATATTACACCTTCCAAATACCCTCATTCCTAATATATTAGTATTACTAGTACTACCTGCATGAATATGAATGATATGAGTTGATAATATATCAGTACAGAACCTGGTAACAAGATGGCCTTGTTAACAGAAAGTTTCCAAGATGATTTTTGTGAGGTAATGAAAAGGATTTCAAAATAACCTTTCAAAATTATCTGTTTTTCAAGATAGACTAGCAGAAAGGTAATATTCTTGTCCACTAGAACATCTAACATATATACACACATACATGCACACACACACATCAATTTTCAGACATTTGACATCAAACAGTGAAAGGAAATGATCAATGAAGGAGGATAAGTAAATTAGTTAAGACCAATGCTTCTTTAAGTTTACTGTCTGGAAAGAATTTCCAGGCACAGGGAAAAGAGGGAAGCAAGCTGGAAGTCCAGGGGTCTTTCTGGGTTAAAGGGCCTGACCTGAGTCATGAAGATGAAGGCATCTTGAGTTGTAAGACATACTAGTGGAGAGGAGAAGGCTGGTACACAGAGAGATATAAAACAATCTGCAGAGGGTACCACTCAATTATCAGCTATGTACATTTCAGTTAATGCTGGTAATGAAACTACATGAGGCTAGCAGAATGCTACCTAAAACCAGTAGAGGGAATAATACCCAGTACTTTCCACTTCTGAAATAATTCCTGTCTCACCACCAAAGCAGATCAGCTCAGGAGTCAAATTAGTAGAGTTCACAGAAGGGTCCTCCCTGAGGAGAGGGTCAAAATTAGCCCTGATTAAAGGGTACTGTGTTTCTACTTAAAAACCTTACAAGTAACTCTCAAGAAGATTAAACTACTTTCTAGTAAGTGCATCTCACAGTAAAGATTAAAAACATGAATAGGAATATAAAAGTCATTCAGTGCTCAGCAAGGTAAAATACACAATATTGGTATTGCATATTTAAAAAATTAATAAGAATGCAAAAAAGCAAAATACAATATATAAAAAAGAGAAAACTCAAACCATAGAATCAGGCCAGAAATAATAGATATGATGTAATAGTAGATAACAAGTTTTGTTTTGTTTTGTTTTGTTTTGTTTTGTTTTGTTTTGCAAGTACCTGGCCAACCAATGGAGCCATAATTCAAAACTATTTGTCTGCATTAGTTTCCCAATTTCTATTTACACAGATTACCTGAAATTTAATGGCTTAAACCATACAGATTTTTTGTCTGAATTTTCTGGGGGTTGGAATTCTGAAATGAGTCTCATGGGGTTAAAGTCAATATGTCAACAGCACTTTTTTTCTTCTGTTTTTATTTCTTCTTTCTAGAGGGAAATTCCTTTTTCTTTTTTTAATTTTCCCACTCCTAGAGGCTAATTGTGGCCCTTTCCTTGATCATAGTATTCATCTTCATAGCAACTCCTCTCCTCCCTGACCTCCATCCTTGCCCAGGGGCCATGCTAATCTTCTCTGTATCGTTCCAATTTTAGTATATGTGCTGCCGAAGCGAGCACTCCTCCCTGACCTCCAGCTTCTTGTTTATGAGGCTTTTTGTGATGACATTGGACTCCCCTGAAATGTCCTGGATAATGTCTCCATATTGAGACCATTAATTTAACCACACCTTCAAAGTCCCTTTGCCATATAAGGTAACATATTCACAAGGTTCTAAGATTAGCATGTTGGCATTTTTGAGGGGCATCATTCTGTCAACTGCAGTATCTCTTCTTCCAGGCAAAGTAGTCATTTGGATGTGTCATTGACAAAGTTCCTTCCACTAGGAAGATTTTAAGTTCCTCTTCTCTCCAGATCCACTACAGAGAGCAGCTGTAAGGCTCTAGAAGTTCACTTACAACTGGTTACAGCACAGCTTATAAAACAGGGTCAATTGTTTCCCCTTCTGTGATCACCAGTCTTAGGGAACTCTTCATTAGGCAATATGCATGTATAGAAGCTGAGGTAGGGCTCCAAGAAGTGGACGTGTGATGAGAGTCTGAACCTGTTCACATAACTTATTTATTTCTCCCCAAACTATTCTAGCCTGATTCTCTCTCTCTCTCTCTCTCTCTGTTTCTCCCATTTGAAAGAGGATTCCTGTCACAATGATTAGTGGTGGTACATTATATTGGCAGCTCAGGTTTTATGTTCACTTGATGTCTCATAATAAGCATTCTATTTTAACGAGGTTCAGTACCAAAAGTGAGTTTATTCCCAAAATAAAATATTAATCCATAGAGATATAAATCTGCTTTAAAATCCTAAGGCTTCCTGCTGTGGTTCTACAAGGTGGCCTTTCCTCTGTCTCTGTACAGAATCTTTATTTATCATAGACATATTGAGACATATTGAATTGGTGTTTGGAATTAGTTGCTCTATGGAAATAGAATGTTTTTTTTCTCTCTAATATAAAATTTGCCTTTAAAAACAACACATAAGAAAATTTTAATTATATGTCATCGATGTATAGATATATACACTCTAAAGTAATAAGAGCAAGAAATATAGCATTTTTTGGTGAAAGTTCTGTTTATATTGCTATTCTTAAACTCAACCTGTTAGCAACATATTTAAAAAGGGCAACAATGGGAGTGATAAAATTATTGGCTGAGCTGAAAAGTCACAGTGGGTGTTAGAACTTGCTATAAAGCAAATGTTTGAGGGTTCATTGTCAGGCACTATAACACTCAGATGTCTGAGAAAGCTTAGTAAACTGATCACAACAGGGTAATTAAATAGAAAAACACTCACTCATGGTCTATTAACTTTAGTATTCCTCAAGTAGAGGCAACCCTTAGATCTCTAGATAATCTTCTTGACAATATATCTTTTGGATACAAGGGGCACTGGACAAAGTATGACTGAACATATTGGGGCATAGTAATTTTTTTGAAGTTCTGAAAGAAAAGTAAATAATGTTTAGCTTCTCTTACCCATAAAACACTAACAAGCATGGTTGCTAGTCATTTGTAGATGGTAGCCCCATAGTCAGAGCTGCCACATGCCAAAGGAAGTATTGGAATAGTAGGCTGAGAGCTAAAGAATTAATAGGTATTCTGTAACCCATCATTTCTATCTCAATAATATGGAAGAGAGAGAAAGAAACATAAAGGTCTATCCCCATCAAATCTGATAACAATTATGACAAAAATATAGAGATTTTACTGATTGAGTACTTTTAGCAAGATATACATTGTCTATATGTAATTGCTTATAATGAGAAAATTGAAATTTATAGATTTATGAGACATGAGCTGCTGTAAAATTTCAGTATCAATTATGTTATTATAAAAGGTTAAAATTTTTTATGACTGAAATGGCTTATTTTGTGTTAAGTGATGTTATAGACCTGAATCCCTTAAGGATGTCATGTTGTAGGACCTATTCCATCCTACAAACAAGGGAACAAGGTATTCTAGCTTCTTTCATGCATGGTTCCTCACTCCATTCCAGCTGCATCATATGTATAAGTTAGGAACCCACAGGGCTATACATTTACTTGTTTACATGTATCATCTTCTTATGTGTCTATAACATGTTCTTTTATTAAACTGGTTTAGAAATAAAGTGGAAAAAATTAAGTGTATCCAAGAGGTCATTTAGCAATATTTGTACCTAGTCTAGATTCAACCAGGTAAACACCTGGTATAGGTCTGGCTTATTTATTTGATTTTAGGATGACCTCTTTTATGTGGGGAGGATAAGGAAGTAAGGTAAAAACAAGCAACACCCTATTTCCCAGACCACATATATACTCCAAGGTTACACAGGTACTGATTAAAGCCCTGACACCTGCAAGTTCTTGAACTGTAGGGATCATTTGTTTTCATTTATGAATATTCTAAAGGGGTGCTTGCTAAACTTTAATATGAATGAGAATCATATTGGTATCTTATTAAAATATAGGTTCTGTTTTAGTTGTTCTGGGATAGCACCAGATATTGACTAACAATGTTGACTCATAGGCACACTTTGAGTAGTAAAGATCAAGGACATTTTGGGGGGGACTCTTAGAATGGAAGACTCAATATCATTGTATGAGATAGTCCTAATGGCATAAATATATTTTGAATATCTTTTGAGGGGATATAACATGTGGGAGACTAGCACCAAGCAAACAGAATGGATGTGTGAGATTCAGAGAAGACGGGTAGCCTCTTTTCTGCATATCTGACCAGTACTCCCAGTGAATATCTCAACCAAAGCATATCTTGTTATATATGCCACACACTGTAAGTTCTATCATCTCTAATTAAGCTCATTAAAAAGAACATTTGAATTGTATATTTTCAATTATAATTGATACCTCAAATTACAGTATGAATTTTAAAGAAATCTACATTTCACATGAATGAAGAAAATAAGAAAGTCCCAGATTAGCATGAAATAGGCTAACCCCTTGCCAACCTTAAAGGATCCAAGGGAGCAAGCAAAAATAGAGCTTGTGACAGACCGTGTTGTCTCCTGGGGGTGGTCCACTGAAAATCTTGTTAACAGGCTAGGTCCTGAATGAATACTCCCAATACTGGTACTGAGTAAACTTATGCTATAGACTAAGAGAAATATTAGGGCCCCAGTTGTTGTGCTTGTTACTGCCAGATGGGAAATTTGTGGATAACAGCAAAGAGATGGGCTGAATATATCACAGCCCAATGTATCACACTACAGGGCAATTCAACTGTATTCAGTAGCTTAGGCATTGAGCATGCTTATGGCTCATCAAATGATATCTCTACCACATCAAGTATTCTTGAAACTCCAGCTTGCATATCCTGGACTTGTCTCTCTTAGTCTCTTGAGTAGCATGTCTTATTTTCCAGCCCCCACAAATATCCAGACTAAATGCAAAAGGAGAGCCAGTAGGATATATGACAGATTTGTGGGTAATCTGGATTATATAGCCCAAAATAGACCTCTTGAAGGATTGCTTGTAGAAGTAAATGACAGAAGATTTATGCCCCCATTTCTTTTTGAGGAACTCTGAAAACCTAGATTTGAAAGCTTCAGCTCTGAGGTATAAATTTGTTAGAGGTTGAGTTTCAACAGAAAACTAGTTTCTTACTTTAAGCATGCTAAATACTGACTCAAAAAGTTGTTAGAAAATACTGAGAAAGGTAGCCATTGAAATAAATGTTAGACATGACTGAAAATGGAAATTATCCATAGTATCTTGTTATATTCTGATCGCTGTCACTATAAGTGTGGCATTGTTCTGGAATAAAGATAAATGGCATTGAAAGCCCAACAGGCCCTGCAACTAAGTGATGGGGAACAATTAGCAGATGGCATGTGTACTGCCAGTTTGTCACTAGCAAGTCATGCACATGTAAGTGTTTGAGAAGGATCTGGGAAGCCTAGCATGGGTAGTAGAGAAAAGACAAGATCAATGTAGCTTATGTTTTCATAATTAATTAGCTACAAGAGGATGTAATTCCTTTGTAACCTCTAACAGGTATTTTCAAAAAGGAAACTGAATTTTGTATGTCTATAGATACCTCAGCTATAAGCCAAGTTGCCAAACTGAAGTGAGACCATTTGTATGTCACTTCATCATCAAAACACAGCTTCTGTGTTACATTTCTTGGCTGCGATTTATAAGCCAGAGGTTTTATCCTCAGTATGTCTGAGATAATGTTAAGAAACCTTGTTTTGTTAAATCCACCAAGGCTACTGCAAGTAGTATGTTCGATTCATGAGCTTTAGAATTATTCATATTGAACCGGTGAACACTGCTAAAAAATGTGGACCATAAAAGCCAGATACTTTTCTTTCACTCCCAAGTAAAGAAATGGAATTTGTGACAAGATAATATAAAAATCTACGTCTATAATATTTTATTTTTTTAAAGAATTGCCAGGTGTAAGCCCTGTCTCAGAGACTGAAATTTAATAAGACTAAATTCAATCATGTAACATAAGAATAACAGTGCATTGTTGAAGAGACAGATTTTTTTTAAATTAAGATACGCTATGAAAACAAGTAGATATGGTATATATTACTTTTCAGAATAATATTTAAAACTTGATTATAAAGAAACACACAAACATGAGAATGGTTTTTTCATACTTACATATCAAAACAAAGAAATAAAGGGAAATAGACTTAATATTACCGACAATGTAATAAATATTTTCCTCAAAAGTGCCACAATGGGGAAATAGATGTTAATCTCCAAGGTGGAACAAGAATACTTGATAACTTTCTGAATACAAGGTAAGTAACAGTTGACATTTAAGGTTATAATTTTCAATCTATTCAAATATTTGTTTCCTTATTTTATAAAATATTTAGATAGTGTTATGGGGGAAGAATGTATACCTGGTAATAATATGCCTATACTCTTAATTATTCCACAAGAATGCAATGCTTGTGGCTCCTGAGTGTCTCATTTGGTTGAGAGTCTGACTTTGGTTCAGGTCATGATCTCATGGTTCATGAATTCATGAGTTCAAGCCCCTCATTGGGCTCCCTTCAGCATAGAGCCTGCTTTAGATCCTATGTCCCCCTCTCTCTGCCC